CCCCAAAACCCCAAAACCCCAAAACCCCGTTGTAAGAATTTCACTATTTTTTGGAAATATATTAATTAAAGAAAATTTACAAATATTAATGGAATCTTTGACTGAATAAAACATTACAGAACAACGTGGATAAATTGAGACTGCTCTCTACATTCTGAAAATAACAAAAAGCAAACTGTAAGATGATCCAATGAAAAGGCTTAAGAGTGTTCTCTTTATCATCCTGGCCAAAGTGACTAAGAACCTCATGATTGAGATATACTTTGATGAAAGCATCGAGTAATCTTATCAATTTATTCAGAGAATCTTAACAGGCAGCTATAATCTAGTAATATTACTCTCTGTTAATCATTTCAGTTTGAACCTGAACATTCTAGAAATTGTCCACTAAAGCAGATTGATGTATTATTTCCTTAAGTGTTTTAGAACCAAAGTTAGCTTATCCTCAACAAAAATATCCAGTTATTAGTTTACAACGAGCATGATGATCATATCATTAATCTACTTGAATAAAGATCAAAATTGGAAGGTTTCCCTGAATTGTAGATTGAAAGAATCTAGCAAATACTTGAATAGGTGATGAAAGAGAAACAATAGTTTGAATTTTTGAGAGAAAACATTTTGGAGGCAATTTTAGAATCGAATGATAATTTGGAGTTCTTTAAGTATGAAGCTGTATGTCTTGGAGGAACCTTTGATCACATGCATCTTGGTCATAAGTTACTTCTCTCCAAAGCTTTAATGTGCACGAAGAAAAGAATTCTAGTAGGAGTTACGACTGATGCCTTGCTAAAGAAGAAGGCCTATGCAGAATATCTCGAATCTTACGAGCAAAGAAAACAAAGTGTGATTGACTTTTGTAATAAGATCAATCCAAAGGTTGAAATTGATGCGTTTGAATTAAGCGATCCAGTTGGGAAATCTGAGACTGATGAATAAATTTAAGCTTGTATACTAACCAGAGAAGTGGAAAAGGGAGGAGCAATGATAAATGAGGCTAGAGCTAGCAGAGGTTTACCACCCCTTGATCTGGTATTTGTTGATATCATTCTGGCAGAGGAGGAAAAAGATAATCAGATCAAATTCGGTAACAAAACTTCATCAACTCAAATAAGATAATATCTATCATAATAAAAACAAGTTAATAGTGATGATTAATGAAATTAATTATCTTATAACTTAACGATTATCAATGCTCTCAATCGTTGCTGAGGGGTTTTGGGGTTTTGGGGTTTTGGGG